CAGGAAGCGGTGCATCTTCTCTCTGTAGTTGTCCCTGGTCAGGGGGGGTTCTTTGTTGTGGGGTGATCTGTGGACTAGACCCACCAGTGGGGGCTTGTACAGCTTTAACATCTCCTCCTGTTCTTCGGTTCTGGACGAGCAGGGGATGATGACCCTGTTCCCTCGGTGCCAGCGCTCCGCGCTCTGAACCGAGGCTCTTTGGTCTGAACTGGATTGTTCGGAGTCGTCAGATGGAGGCTGTCCCACTCTGACTTTGAGTTTCTTTAAGAGTACGGGCCTCATGTCAAAGTCCAGCACCAGCCACTGTTCGTACAGGCCTGCGTGGACGGATGTGAAGGTGACAGTGATGGAGTAGGTAATTTCTTCCCTAGGAACCTGCTCCCCTGATGCGTACACGCAGGGAGCAGGACTGGTGTCACCGAGGCTGAACGAAGCTCCAGGTTCCTCTTTCAGCAGCGCCACGTGCACGAGCTCTCTCTGCCCAAACACAAAGAGCAGGCCGTTATAATCACACATTAACGTGTCACATCTGCAAAGGCTCTATTCTTTAACTCATTGGCTGCCAAAGACGTCTATAGACGTTAATTCAAATACAACCGTTGACTGCCAAAGACGTCTATAGACGTCTTTTATGTTTTTCAACGCAAGTGGCTTGGGGGACGATCTGCTAAAGCTTGTCCGTAAATATCGGCTTCTAGACAGAGTATGTAGTAACAAATTGACCCTCTAGGGGGCAGTGTCACTTTTGATGGGAGATGAGCATAGACTGTAGGCAAATAAGAAAAAGGGAACGGTTCTATGAGAGAACATGTCGCCGGTGAGACGCAAGTCCAGGAAGAACGGAATAAGGTAGAAACACATTTTTTTCCTGATAAAAGAAGAGAGTCTACTCTTTCTTTTGGTGTGTTCGGTGTTTACATAGTCATAGCACAAACTATTCTGTGGGTCTAGAAAAATCAGTCAAAATGCTCAAAAATCTCTGGCAGTATGGGACTTTGTTCTGAAAAAGGCTGGCAGTCAATGAGTTAAATTGTGCTCCATACATAATATGTCCGATACTAGAAACACAGAGGAAGGTTTGTAATGATGGGAGGGCCCTGCTGCTGGTATCAAAAGATTACACGTACAGAAAGTTACTCCCAGTTTCCACAGAATGGGAGTGGTGCCCTTCTCTGCCTGAGTGGGGAAGGGCACGGCGGCAGCCTTTGTGACACAACCGGGAGTGTTTCAATGCAAAGATCATCTTGTTCAAAGTACAAAAGCAGCTCTGACATGAGCTTTGATTTCAACTGAGGATCAGGAGGAGTCCCTGACCGAACACTCCAAGCCTTCATCTGTGTTTGTGATGCTTGGCACCTACCACCAACACTGTGCGGACAACTTTATACTTTTGGAACCAAAATGTCAAATCTTCTGTCATATTTGGGCTTAATTGTCTGAGTGCAGTGGTCCCACTCAAATACGCGTTCAGATCAGGTTTGGATTTGCGGGTGGAACTTCTCCTCGTGCTGTTTCTCTAAATGGGCGCAGCTATAAATGAGATCTAAATTTTGTATTCTGGGATAAAGTACCCACTAAAGTACTTTGTGTCTCGCAGTCAGCCCGGCTGTAACAACTGATTTGGCACAGGCCCTGAAAAACCCTGTCCGCTATATATAAATATATATTTAAATCTCTTTTTATTAAACACAAAACAGAGTTACATTCTTGGCTCAAGATATAGATTTTGGTGTTTTAAACATTTCAAATTGCACCCCCCACCCCTGAGAACTACTGTGCATCTACCCACAAGATCAATAAGCAATAAAACATTACAGAGTCATTTACATACACATATGCATCTTAGACCATAAAGAAAAGGAAAGACAAAAAAAGTAGTTATCATGACAAATACAAATACAACTAAGGAGTAGTGAGATAAAATTAACCACGTATATGCACTTATGTATATATGTTCCTGCCTTACATACCAAAGGGGGACAGAATAGCCTTATTCCCTTTAACTTCTGTAGGTCTTTCGATTTTTTACTCTTAGGGATTCTCAGTAAGTGTCTTGAGCTTTTCAAATTAT